ATCAATGCTCTCCTTGCCCAGCCTGTCAGTTTAGGTGGATGGCCATGTCTTGGTAGGTGTGCAGGTGTGCCATACTCTTTCCATTTTCTGATGATGGATTGAACAGTGCTCCGTGAGATGTTCCGAGCTTGGGATATTTTTTTTATAACCTAACCCTGCTTTAAACTTCTCCACAACTTTATCTCTGACCTGTCTGGTGTGTTCTTTGGCCTTCATGATTCTGTTTTTTTACTAATGTTCTCTAACAAACCTCTAAGGGCTTCACAGAACAGCTGTGTACAATTGCACGCCACACTTTTCAGATGTTTATTTGTAAAAAAAATTTAAAACCATTTATCATTTTTCTTCTACTATACATTTATGTGTCACTTTGTGTTGGTCTACCACATAAAATTCCAATAAAATACATTTACATTTTTGGTTGTAACATGACAAAATGTGGAAAATTTCAAGGGGTATAAATACTTTTTCAAGGCACTGTATATGGAATAAAAGTTCTGACAAATTAAACTGAAGCCAGAGGCATCTGGAATAAGATGGGGGGGGGGGGGGGGAGGCTGGAACCTGACCTTTAAGAGAATTGTCTGCCACTGTGTGAGTATAGGGAAAATCGACATGGGGTTCGCAGAGTGCAGGGCTCTAGAGTGTTGTAACCGAGTGAATGAAACTGGGTATTCTGTTTTCTCTGGGTTTTGTAATCCCAGATCAGGGTCTGGAGCTTGGAGACCTTACCTTGATTCTGTGTCCAGGTGTTATTGGAGACCTGCAGGTAGTATGAGTGTGCAGGTCTGCTCACTCATTGTAAACATGCCTGGCCATAGCTCAGAGCTCCAGCCACGTGGGAAGTGTTCCCCATCAAGAAATAATTGTATGCTGCTGTTTAGAGAGAAGAGGTGATCTACTCAGGAGACAGTACTCCAGTTTTGGAGAGATTCCTTGCCCACTGGACTGGGAGAAAGAATCAGGACAGCTGAGTCTGGAAGACTGAGAAAGGTGAGGTGACTTGGGGACTAAGGAAGTCTGTGATTCTCAGTGGAGTAAGAGAGCCCAGGCTGGCAGGAAATCCAATATTGAGAGTCCAGGGAGTGGGCCGTGCAGCTGGCTGCGTTAACTGTAGGTTGGATGAGCCATAAGAGCTGAGGATACAGTCTGAAGGACTGGTGAGCAGAGCAGTGGTGCTGCTGCAGAGGGACCCAGGTGACTCAGTATCTTTCTGCGACTTGTTATGCTGGTGAAAAACCCGTGTGGGAAACCTGACGTATGAACTTTACTTTCATTTGTTTCACTAAGCCCTAAACCAGACTTCCTGACTCGCAAGGACTCACTAAAATAAAAATATAATAATTTCAAATATTTTTGCAGGAGAAAATGTGCAAGTATATTTTTTTTTTTTTTCACAGGAGCCTGCAAATTATTGCACCCACAATCAGTTCATTGCAGGTGCAATGCCAGGCTCCTGCAAACACGTCTTCCAGCTCTACACCCGTACCTCTGTACAGGCTTTCAGTTGAAGCTGGAATAAATGTCAGTGGACTATGAGTGCACTGAATACCACACTCAGTCCATTGAGAACTACAAGTCTGCCTGCTGTAATGGTAGATGGGACTTGTAGTTCATTCATTTACATATCTCTGTGAATGAATGACGGTGGCTGCAAGGGAGAAAAAAAAAAAACCAAAACACATAAATGTCATAAGCGGGTGGTGTGAGAACCGGGGGTGGTCTGGGGACTGAGGAGGGGGGTGTGCATTTGTAAGGCCCAAATGAACAGAGTACGAGGTACAGAGTAATCTCTGGGGTTGAAGAGCCTGTGTTCACACCAAGTGCAATATGATTTTTAGGGATGAGTTTACCTTTTGTGAAGTGGCTTTTCTGGCTCTTGAGTAAGGTGGGAATGACATAGTCAGTGATACCTCTGTCTTTCAAGATCTGAGTGTCAACTGCCATGCTTTTAAGGCCAGTGACTGAGGAACAGAATTGACACTATGATGCAGCGCTAAATATACAGCTGGCTGGTGGATATAACCACCCTATATATTGGATAATAGTAAGTAACATATAAACCATACAATACAATTTTCTATATATGGTGTTAGATCTAATCGGATCTGATTCGGTGATACACAAGTGATAATCAGTGCAGAGTAAGAGGTTCTATAGAACCTGTATAGGTGGTATAAATTTCCTTCCTGTCTAGGGATTGATTATAGCAGAAATGAACGTGATTACAACCACAGTGAATCCCTATACAGGGATAAAATACCACATAGGTGATATGTGCTATGACCCGTATTAAAACAAACCACAATAACACATAAAAGTCCATATGAAACTTTCAAACTGCTGCATGGTCACTCCAGCCATGTGTTTTCATGTGTGCTCCTGTGTTTGGTGAGACAGTGAAATGAGAATCCTACACAGCAGGGCACATTAAAACAAGGATCCTGAAGAAGCCACGTGGGCGTGGCGTAACGTGTAGAGGCGACATGGTGACGCACTTCCGGTAGGCACCATCTTGGTACACCAGGGTGCATCCATTACACCCATGTTAGTGGTGGAAAAAGCCTGTTGATTTCTACAGAAATGTGAGTGGACATTTTGGCGATTTTTATCCTATTTTAGTAATAAATAACAGTATTACACTATGGAGTCTTTCTTTTTATGGTCCCATATGATGTGCTTTAATGAACTTACATACTGACGCCTGTGGATGGAGGCATAAGAGGGAGTGAAGAAGAAACCAGCAGGGCTGTGGAGCCTGTCCCGCCTGGAGATTGCGCGCAGGATCCAGGGTGATCCAAAAGGCATTGTGGCCCTAGCGGGTCGCAGTGGGAAGGTGAGCGTGCATGCCTGCTGCAAAGGATTCTCACTTCACTTTCTCACCAAGCACAGGATCACGCATGAAAACGCATGGCTGGAGTGACCATGCAGCAGTTTGAAAGTTTCATATGGACTTTTATGTGTTATTGTGGTTTGTTTTAACCACTTCCAGTCCGGTCACTTTTACCCCCTTCTGACCAGGGCAATTTTCAGCTTTCAGCGCTATCACACTTTGAATGACAATTGCGCGGTCATGCAACACTGTACCCATATGAATTTTTTACCATTTTTTTTTAGACAGATAAAACTTTATTTTGGTGGTATTTATTCACCACTGGGAATTTAATTTTTTTTGCTATGTACATCAAAATGTCCAAAATTTTTGAAAAAAAGTGTTTTTCTTATAAAATTTTGCAAATAAATAATATTTCATCATAAATCTTGGCCAAAATGTATTCCGTTATCTTTTTAGTAAAAAAAAAAATAATAACCAAAAATTATCATTTTTAAAAAAATTTTTTTTTTAAATATTTTTTTTTTTTATTTTTTTAATACTGTCACCCTAGCAGTACAGTGTCACCATGGTGACACTGTACTACTTTTGGGGGTGATGATTTTTTTTTTTTTACACTGATTGCTTTTACACCCATATAGGATGTAAAAGCAATAATTTCTCTTTCTCTCTGTCTGCATTCTTGCAGCCATTGAGAACTACTGTGTGAGCTGTGATTGGTCACAGCTTGTCACATGGTACAAGGCTGTTGTGAATAGCCTTGTACCATGTGACCTCTGTGATCATTCACAGATTTCACACATAGTAAACAATGATGTCAGAAGTGACGTCTTGCTTACTACTTTGCATGTGATCACTGATTGGCCAATCAGTGATCACATGATCAGGACCTCGTACAGAGGTCCCGTCCGACGTTCGGTGTGTCACTGTGTCCGGAGGACATAGCGGGCACCAGATCCCGGGGAGCACGCATAAGCAGGGTACGGGGAGGCCGTTTATAAATGGCCACCCGACTCTGCAGTGCCACCGTCCGGCCGTTAATATACAACGGCCGGTAGGGAAGTGGTTAATACGGGTCATAGCACATATCACCTATATGGTAGTTTTTATCCCTGTATAGGGATTCACTGTGGTTGTAATCACGTTCATTTCTGCTATAATCAATCCCTAGACGGGAAGGAAATTTATACCACCTATACAGGTTCTATAGAACCTCTTACTCTGCACTGATTATCACTTGTTTATCACCGAATCAGATCCGATTAGATCTAACACCATATATAGAAAATTGTATTGTATGGTTTATATGTTACTTACTGTTATCCAATATATAGGGTGGTTATATCCACCAGCCAGCTGTATATTTAGCGCTGCATCATAGTGTCAATATTGTTTATATCCATCTTGAGGGGATGTTTGGATGCTAGCTGCTCCCGTATAGACGTTATATAGCAGCGCAGGAGGACCCCCAATTATAATATTTGAGGAACAGAATTGCAGAGGGCCTTGAGATAGCAGAACTGGCCTGTTTGGAAGACCAGGGGTAGTCTCCCAGAAGTTTAAGTCTGTGTACCAGGTTCCTCTGGGATAGTTTGAAGTAATGAGAATAACTTTTCTTCTTCCCCTATTTTGTGAGGCAATTGAGGAAGGACCCACATTGAAGGAAAGGCATATATTAGCCACATTAGAGTTCAGGGAATTTCCAAGGCATACAAGATGGGTAAATGAGAATGTCCAGTTAGATATCTTGAATGTCTGCTGATGCAAGATATTCCCCTCGTTTCAAAGAGGCAATTACTGACCTTGCTGATTTTAAAGTGGGTTTGAAGGCATCGGCTAATTTACACTTCCAGTGTTCTTTTAACTAGCTCTTAGTCTCACTTTGGCTTTATAGCTTTGTTTGTTATAGCAGTCACCTGTTTAACAAGTTGCCGACCGCAGATAGCCGAATGACGGCTAAACTGCGGCCGGCCAGTTCTGAGTGGACGTTATATGACGTCCTCCCAGAACGCGCTCTCCTGCGCGCCCCAGGGGGCACGCACCCGGCGATCTCCGTGATCGCTGTGTCCTACGGACACAGCTGATCACGTGATGTGGTAAAAGGCCAATCATACCGGCCTTTTACCACGTGATCAGCGGTGTCCAATGACACGCTGATCACAGGGAAATGCAAGTGCCGGTTCTCGGCTGCACTTTCCTCACGCTGTCAGATCGTGAGGAAAGTACTGCCGAGAACCGGCAGTTGTCAGAGCGGGGATTGGCACCGATCATCAGGGCACTGATGATCAGTGCCCTGATGATCGGTGCCCAGCAATGCCACCCGCAAGTTCCGCCCACCTGTGCCCAGCAGTGCGCCCACTAGCTCCGCCCACCTGTGCCCAGCAGTGCACCCACCTGTGCCCAGCAGTGCACCCACCTGTGCCCAGCAGTGCACCCACCTGTGCTACTCTGCAGTGTCACACACCTGTGCCCAGAAGTGCCACCTACCTGTGCCCAGCAGTGCCACCCACCTGTGCCCACCCACCAGTGCCGCCCACCAGTGCAGCCCAGCAGTGCTGCCAGTCAGTGCCACCAGTCAGTGCCCAGGGGTTGTGCCAGTCAGTGCCGCCAGTCAGTGCCCAGCAGTGATGCCAGTCAGTGCCGTCTATCAGTACCCATCATCAGTGTCACCTATCAGTGCCGCCTATCAGTGCTGCATTAGTGCTGCCTATCCGTGACACCTCATTAGTGCTGCCTATCAGTGCAGCCTATCCGTGCCACCTCATTAGTACTGCCTATCAGTGCCCTTTAGTGCTGCCTATCAGTGCCGCCTATCAGTGCCCCTATCAGTGCTGCCTCATCAACGCACATCAGTGAAGGAGAAAAAATACCTGTTTGAAAAATTTTATAATAGAAACAAAGAAACTTTTTTTTCAAATTTTTTGCACTTTTTTAATTTATAGCGCAAAAAGTAAAGCGCCCAGTGGCGATTAAATACCACCAAAAGAAAGCTCTATTTGTGAGAAAAAAATTATCAAAATTTCATATGGGTACAATGTTGCATGACCGCGCAATTGTCAATCAAAGTATGGCAGCGCTGAAAGCTGAAAATTGGCCTGGTAAATAAGGGGGTATAAGTGCCTGGTAGGCAAGTGGTTAAAGTTGGCCATCTTTTCTTCCACCTCACTACCAAAAGTTTCTCTCTGGCTGGTGATACAGAGCTTATAAGACTTCTAACCGAGCACTTCCTGTCTGGTGCACTTACAGTGGGGAAAATAGTTATTTGAGCCCCTGCAGATTTGTAAGTTTGCCCAATTACAAAAAAATGAAGGGTCTATAATTTTATCATAGGTATATTTTAAATGATAGAGACAGAATATCAGCCAAAAACCAGAAAAAAACACAATACAAATGTTAAAAATTGAGTTGCCGTTCAGTGAGTAAAATAAGTATTTGATCCCCTACCAACCAACAACAATTCTGTTTCCCACAGATTGTGCTCATGTGGTACACAGATTAGTCCTGTCAATTTAAGAAGGTGCTCCTAATGACAACCCATTATATGTATAAAAAACACCTGTCCACAGAATCTCTTTCTTGGGCACCACCCTGGGCAAGACCAAAGACCTGACAAAGGATGGCAGGGACAAGATTGCAGACCTGCAAAAAGGCTGGAATGGGCTACAAGACCATCAGCAAGAAACTTGGTGAGAGGGAGACAACTGTTGGAGCGATTATTTGCAAATGGAAAAAAACAAAATAACCATTAATTGCCCTTGGTCTGGAGCTGCATGCACGGTTTCTCTTCATGGAGTAAGGATGATTATGAGAAAAGTCAGGGATCAGCCCAGAACTGCACGGGAGGAGCTTATGAATGATCTCAAGGTAGTTGGGACCACGGTCACCAAACCAACCATTGGCAACAAAATACGCCACCATGGATTGAAATCTTGCACTGCCCACAAGGTCCCCCTCCTCAAGAAGGCACATGTACAGGCCCGTCTGAAATTTGCCAATGAACATCTAAATGATTCAGAGAAGGATTGGGAGAATCAGCTGTGGTCAGACCAAAATTGAGCTCTTTGGCATTAACTCGACTCGACATGTTTAGAGGAAGAAAAATGCTGACTGCGACCCTAATAACACCAGTCCTACAGTCAATCACAGAGGGGGAAACATTATACTTTGGGGCTGTTTCTCTACTAAAGGTACAGGCCCACTTTGCCGCATTGAGGGCCAATGGACAGGGCCATGTATTGTAAAAACGTGGATGAAACTTTTTTTCCTCAGCCAGAACACTGAAGATAGGTTGTGGATGGGTCTTTCCAGCATGACAATGACCCAAAACCCAAGTCAACAAAGTAGTGGCTCAGTAAGAAGCACATTAAGGTCATAGAGTGGCCTAGCCAGTCTTCGGACCTTCCTATGGAAAATATATGGAGGGAGCTGAAACTTTGAGTTGCCAAGCAACAGCCAAGAAACCTTAAGGATTTAGAGAAGATCTGTAAAGAAGAGTAGGCAAAATCCCTCCTGAGATGTGTGCAAACCTGGTAACCAACTACAAGAAACGTCTTACCTCTGTGCTAAGTACTAAGTCATGTTTTGCTTGGGGATCAAATACTTATTTTACTCACTGAACTGCAACTCAATTTATAACATTTGTATCGTGTATTTTCTGGATTTTTGGTTGATATTCTGTCTCTATCGTTTAAAATACACCTGTGATAAAAATTATAGACCCTTCATTTCTTTGTAAGTGGGCAAAACTTAGAAAATCTGCAGGGGATCAAATAATTATTTTCCTCACTGTACATTTTATAATGGGGACTTGGACAACTTAGCGGAGGCTGCTAAAGATTTTTCACCACCAGTATTTTGAGAAGTTTATTTCATTAACGTCTTAACACGTTCACTAGAAAAAAAATTCCTAGAAAGCCTTTCCCTATTCTTGATCAAGCTGATTGAGCTTTATATAATGACTGGCCAAACTTAGAGATTATTCACTGGTACTAGCCTTTATGCGGCCTTGTATCCTTTATTTTAAGAATTTAAAAAGAAATGGACTGTTCCCACAGTGGACTAAACAAAAAAAACTGAAGCGATCAGGAGGAGCTTGCTGTACTAACCATGCAATGTTAGTACAGTGGTTGCCCCACTGAGCTATTGTGTTCTGACAGGGTACTGCCCCACCGCCAGAACACACCAGTCAGCGCTCATATACTGCTCGGATGCCGATCTTCAAACATGTCTGTTGTACAGAAGCCAGTCGTTCAGACAGCTTCTTTCGGACAGGCTGGTGTAAACACAGGCTGAATGTCGGCCGGTTTCTATTGAACTGGCCAGTGAAAGCCCATATTTGGCCTGTGTGTACAGGGCTTATGGCAAAGTGCACTGAAGAACTCAATAATGAACCTTTCCTGATATAGATAAACCTACTCTTTCTGCAAGATTACAGTGCTGGCCTTCAGACCTACTATTCTGCCTGGACACCGTGGAGAATTTGATTTGTCAAATCTAAAGAACATCCTTACTTTCTGTGCATATGCGCAGATCCTTAAGGCTTAGAGCTTGGTTAGCTGACCCTGACTTTTGTGCATGCCCTTTGAAAGTGAGCTGTTCTTTGGAAAAGAAGGAATACATTGGGGCAGTCATGGGGGGATGGGGGTTCCTACCCAATTATCCACAATTGCACCTCCCTAGAGATTTGTCCTCAGCTTTATACGTATGATCTGTTCACCCCCTCCAGGCATCATCATCTACTGCAGGTTCATCCTTTTGTGGCAGACCCTCCAACTTCTAAGCACACTGGACCTTCTCAGCTTTCTTTATACTAAAGGTTTGCCTCCACCCTTGGAGGTGGAAGGACATTTACTGCCATTTGCTCCAGCTTAGTAGAGATGTCCTGGACTTTTGTTTTGCTTTGTATTTTGAGAGGTACACAAAACGTCTCTGTCGTTGTCCTTGCTCTGTTCCTTTCCACTACCCATTTCTACTTGCTGATTCAGAAAAAAACAGACAGTTTTTGTATACCTCCTAGCAGCTTTAGTCACAAGGGGTGGTCATCTCCTTCCCTTTTAGGAAAAATAACAAGGTCTTTCCAAATCCTGCACAATGACTGTTGTCCATTTACGAATATGTTTCCTATCATTCAAATTACTAAAGTAGTCAGACTCCTGTGTGATCTTCTGTAGACCAGTCACTACGTCTACTGCAGTAGCCAGGCTTCTGCCAAGTCTCCTGTAGACCTGCTACTATGTCTCTCATGGGAGATTTTCACTTTCAACATTTTATTGAAATGTTACAGAATACAGGTCATAGAATGAAGAAACAGATAGATTGTTGTCAATAGCACATTGTCCAAATGTAAGACCTTCATAAGAGCAACTAAAAGTAAATGTTTGAAGTAAAAGGCCTATGACATAAAGGTGGCGTGCAGCTAACTGGTAAAGGTTTTGACAGCCAACAAGACACTGACCAATATCAGAGACCAAATCCAGGTGGATAACAAAGTCTGACCAACACACCTGACCTCTAATGAGTAATCAGATATGAAGTGACACTGTAGGACAACCCTTATGCATAAAATCACTCCAAACAACCTATCAATACAATGAATCCACTGAATCATCATCATTGTATTGATAGGTTGTTTGGAGTGATTTTATACATATGGATTGTCCTACATCACCACCTCATATCTGTTACTCAGAGTTTTTTCTCCCACTGGCATACATTATGGTGTTTTTAGCTGCTTTTCTTTACAATAAAGTGGATATATGCTTTAGTGCAGCCTCCTGGACTTTCCTTTTAAATATTTTTTTGTTCACGTAGCAAATTTCCTTTTAACTTACTCCTAAAGTGTGGTGCTTATACAGTTAGGTCCATATATATATTGGGCACAGGCACAATTTTAGTTTTTTTTTTTCAGGTATGTACCAAAATATTTCAAACTATAGTTATGTAATGGATATGGGCTGAAAGTGCACACATTCAGGTTTAATTTGGAGGGTATTTACAGTTGTGTTCAAAATAATAGCAGTCAGACATCACTAACCTGATCAATCACTGTTTTTAGTAGAAATGATATTTCTACATGGCAAATAATTTACTAGCAGGTGTAGTAGAGTAATAGAAATCCAACAGCCATGACATGCATGCTGCTGATTCTGTGTAATTGAGTCACTAATTGAAAGGGGCATGTTCAAAATAATAGCAGTGGGGAGTTCTATTAGTGAGATCATTCATTCTTTGTAAAACAGGTAGCAATTATTGCCCTTAAGGAAGGAAGGCAGCAAATGTTGTACATGCTGGTTACAGTGCATTTCTCTCTGAAATTCTGAGGAAAATGGGTCGTTCCAGACATTGTTCAGAAGAACAGCGTACCTTGATTAAAAAGTTGATTGGAGAGGGGAAAACATATAAAGAAGTGCAGAAAATGATAAGCTGCTCAGCTAAAATGATCGCAAATGCTTTAAAATGGCAACCAAAACCTGAAAGACGTGAAAGAAAGCGAAAAACTACCATTCGAATGGATAGAAGAA